AGTCAAGCATTTTTTTAATTTCCAGAATTCTGTGAAAGTTGATTCTGGTGATATGTGGCAGGTGGTTCACTGCTTTTATGGAGGAAACTAACTTTTAGTGGTTCTTACCTGACCTTTTTGTTATTCCCTTGCTTGGATTTTCAGTCAAACTATAGATATTTTTGAGACCAGTAGCAAAAACTGAACAGTCTGTTTATTAGGTTATTAATTTTGTTGGATAGGAAAATTGTTTATGATCATATATATTTTAAAGGCCCTATCTGTTAGAGCTACATAGTGGTATTCAGAGTTTCCTTTGATTTGCTTTCAAATACCCTCAGCTCACAGGCAAAAATGTATGTGTGGAGAGAGATCAGAAAGAATGGCACGTGTTGCTACTTGCTGGAGCTGTGTGATGGGTGCACAGAAATTTACTGTCCCACTTTATTTTTGTGTTTGAAAATTTCTATACTAAAAGTTTAAAAAGAGAAAGGGTACTCAGACCCACACAAGGTTTCTTTGAGGTGGGAAAAAATATAATAAAGTCCCTCACTGGCCTCGGGTAGAAGAGAGTTAAACAATGTCCGGAAGATTGGCAGGGTGTGTGCTGAGAGAATTAAGGCTAAAGAGATGGAATCAGTCAGACACCCCCGGGATAAAAGAACAAGTTATATAGCAAGTAAAGAAATGTCACCATCTCTGGTCTAGAAGGCAAAGGAATTGACTGGTTAGTCCAGGCTGACCCCTGACCCCAAGTTCATGGTCTCAACCACTACATTCCACCACATCCCAGGGGGTGGGAAAGGCAGCATTCCCACCCAAGGTCATTCTGTGGCAAAGGCCCAGAGCAGGAGGCGTGCACAGGGTGACAGGCCTCCAGGGGCAGGGGATGAGGTAGGTTCTTTCCTCCTGAGTGAGCCACAGCCTCAAGACAACACCTGGGAAAGGGAGCTTTCTCTGATGACCTGGACTCAATCAGCAAAGCTCCAGGTAGTTCAAAGGGTACTGTAAAATGTACACTTTACACCACACTGTACATACAAGACCCTCACACCCTGAGGGAGGGAGTGTGGAAGATCCACCGGAAGAATTCCCACAGGGCAGGGCAGTGCATTCAGAGCCCAAGGGAACCCGCCTAGCTTTCTGCTGCCAGCTCTCCAAATAGGGACAAGAGCCAACAGGGAAGACAGGTGCCCTGTCTCGGCCAAAGGAAGAGGCTTAGGAAACAGGAACGAAAGGAAGGCAATTAAGAGCGTGTCATTCTTTTACCTTAAAACCCTGAGGAGGAATAGGAAACGTGTTTTAAAGCACAAAGAGTCCCTGGATGTCTTTGGATATAGGTCAGGAGAGGAGGAACTAGGGGAGGGGGCAGGGGCACTGCAGGGCAGAGGACAAGCTGTAGGGGCCTGTGGGAGAAAGGCAGAGCCAAAGCCCCTCACTCCCACCCAGGCCCTGACAGCCACTGAATGAAGCCCTGTCAGAAAAGAGGAGCTGAAAGGTGGCTAGGACAACAGTGCGAAGTTCTTTAGCAGATCAGGCCTTTCAGGGTGCAGCAGAGGGGCTGGAGACGGGGGGTCATGGCCAGCAGAGCCTGGACCATCTGAATGGGGCGGGGAAGGGCGAGACAAAGAGGGCCTGGGACCATGGCTGCTCTGCCTCACCGTGTGGTCACACCACCACCACTGTGGTGGGCAGAGCAGGGATGGCTCCCGGTGTGAGGCAAGTCTGGACTGTCTAAGAGTATAACCTGCAGGTCATTTTGGAAAATGAGGGACCAGAAGATGCCCACATCTTCCATGTGAGGTCAGATTTGAAGCCAGCACCCTGTGTAGTGCCACTCAGAGTCCCTGACTGAAGGTGCCCATGGCCCCAGGTCCATGTTACAACTGTTTGACTGAAAAACAGCTTTATTGGTGACCTGAGGGAGCCAAGGTCACTCCCGTGGAGTATCAGCCTGGGAGGCCGCCTCCGGGCAGGAAAGCCAATTGTGATCCATGGAAGTTCCTGACAAGAGGTCAGATCCCCACTCCTAATTATAAAAAAATCCCAAATCTTGATTTCAGAGTCCACAAAAGGCCAGAGGCTGGAGTCCTGATGGGTGTCAGTGCCCCTGCCTATGGGGCTTAGGCTGCCGAGTTGTTCAGCAACACGTGTGGGCTGCGCAGACAAGGTTAGAGGCCAGGAGGCCACAGGGAAGTGCCCAGACAAGTGTCCACGAGGGTTCACACATGGGCAGCACGTGGAACCTGGCCCTTGGGTTGCACTTTGGGTCCGATGGGATCAGTCGCCAAGCGGGCCTGGGTAGCAGAGAACCTCGCCTCCTGGCCCTTGGCATGTCGAGGCTCCATGGTCTGGGTTCAGCCTGACAAGGTTAGAGGCCAGGAGGCCACAGGGAAGTGCCCAGACAAGTGTCCACGAGGGTTCACACATGGGCAGCACGTGGAACCTGGCCCTTGGGTTGCACTTTGGGTCCGATGGGATCAGTCGCCAAGCGGGCCTGGGTAGCAGAGAACCTCGCCTCCTGGCCCTTGGCATGTCGAGGCTCCATGGTCTGGGTTCATCAGTGCTGCTACAACCTGTCACATGTCTTAGCTCCTCACTGCTGAGGTGTTCCCAGCTGCCTGACAGGGTACAGGTACCACATCACCACCCCTGTCGGGTTGATGATCACTGTGAAGGTGGTTTCAGTCCGGAGGCCACTGATGACGCCACCCGTGTAGACATCCTGGGCCTGCAGCAGGGAGGGACATAACCAGTGCCCCCGTGAGAATGGCCAGGCAGAGGGCACAGAAGCCTGGACTCTGGCCTGTCTGTGCTGGGCCTCCCGTGTGCACTGCAGAAGTCGGAGCCGTGACCCTGTCACTTCTCACCGGCACAGCCAGCTGATGCCCAGGCATAGGCAGTGGCGAAAGCCCCGCCCACAGAGGACCTGAGCACCGTGCTGGCAAGGGCTGAGCAGTGAGGCGAGGAGCGTGGCCTCGGTGGGTAACGGGACTCATTCCTACTCAGTAGTCCTGTTTGCTTAGCCTGAAAGTGCCAGTGTGCAGAGCAGCACCAGCCATGGCCTCAGTGCCTGCAGCTGCCCCTTGAGCACCTGCCACAGGACCCAAGGCCCACGGTGTAGGGGAGGCCTGGGTGAGGCCCACCCCAGCAGCACCCTCCCAGGAAAACAAAGGGCACTCACTACCTGCAGGGCGCTCACCTCATACAAGATGGAGCTGGTGAAGTTGAGCTGGGAGAGGGAGCAGTGGAAGCGATACGGCATGTCTGTCCTGCGGCTGAAGAAGACCAAGGCGTAGGCATTATTGTCCAGGGGCCGCAGGAACACTTCGATGAGGGACTTCTCCTGGGCACAGAAGATGGCTGCTGGCTGCGGTTCCCGCTCAGGCAGGCCCTGAGGTCCCCTTCCTGGCCCTCCCTTGAGCCCTGGGTCGCCCCTCCCCAGCCCACAGTTTCATTCCACGCAAAAGCTTGAGGGGGGGGGGGTGATACTACAGCCCTCCAGTACCCCACTTATCTAACTACTTTCCTTCCTTCCCTGACTTGGCAGACACTCCCCAACACTTCCTGTGTCCAGGCCCCATGCCAGGACACAGACGCAATGCTGCACGAGGTCCTGCCTCAGAGAGTTCAAAGGATGATGGGAGGGATGGACGTGGACAGCTGCTGCCCTGGAGTGGCCAGTGGGATGATGCACTCTGCCCTGTGCAGCCAGGAGCGTGAACCCCATCTTCCAGAAGGTCCCCGGCCTGACAGGGATTAGTTCCCTCCTCTGGGCCGCTCCACAGGTACAGTCTACAGGTGCGTAGATTTATCCTAACTAGAGAGGGAGGAGTGTGCAAGAGCACAAACTTTGGGCAACACTGTTGGAATCAGGTCCTGTTGTGCTGTTTACTAATTGTGGGGCCTTGAGCTAAGTTACTTAGACCCTTCAAATCTCAGTTTCCTCTTTTATAAAACAGGGAAGGACTATCGACCTTGTGAGGAAATGTATCTAGAATGCCCAGCACACAGTAGGTGATCAATAAAAAGTAGACACCAGTATGAATAATAGTTGTATTCCTTGGCTCATACAACTCCTAAACACGGCAGGGAAGCCCCAGTTCTCTACCAGACATCACAGTTCTCCGCCAGACACCTTATACTTCCAACCTGAGAGGCCTCACTGGACCCTGGGCACTGCACGGTGACGTCTCCCCCAAATCCCATGAGCTGTCCTGCTCTGGCCCTGCCCTCACCGGATAAGTGGGGGACAGTTGGAATAGCCCCCAGTAGAGTCTTCAACTGAATGCACCCAGCCTTGCAGGCTTGTTCTCAGGGAAGCCTAGTCCCTCAGTCTCCCCTTTCTTCCCCCCACACCCCAATACCTTGAGAATCCTGCGTCCCTGGATACCTAAGGGATCCTGGTTGATTTTGATCATGAGTGGATTCTGCAGAATGTCCATGTTCTGGGCGGAGATGGTACGCAGGTCCGTGGATATGAAGAGGGGGGCCGCCAGCACTGTCCACAGGGCCATCTGGGCCCGAGCTTGCTCAAAACTGAGGCCAAAGTTCCCAATGAGCAGCTAGGGGCAGAGGAGAGAAGTGGTTAGCCCTGCTCTCTTCAGTGGGGAGAGTATAGGCACCAACCCCAAGCTTGTAGCTGAAGCAAGAGAAGGTGGAGGTGGGAGGCACGGCCACATGGGGAGCCTGGTTTGGCAAACACCATTCCCTAGCAGTGTGGCCTCGGGATGAGTTGAGTCACTTTCCATTTGAGCCTCAGCTTTTTATTTCACAAGAAAGGGGGTGCTGGCCATGTCACAGGTCATTCCAATGGGATCCTGCTGCCAAAAGCATTTGTGAACTGAAATACGCACCCAGGATGACAGAGGTAGGAAACCAGAACCAGAGCCCAACAGAGTCCCTGCTCTTGCCAGTAGCCACCACCTGACCCAGGGCAACCAATCTAGATGGGACACAAACGATTACTGCTCACACAACACTGTTACATACTTAGTGATGCCAACCTAACTAAGCACTGTACATGTGCCAAGCTGTGCCAAGCATTTTAAAGGGCCATCCATTTCACCCTCAAAACAGCCCTATATATAAGGTAGCTACTGTTGTTATTTTCATTTTCCAATTGACAAAACAGGCACAAGGAGGCAGCCAACCAATATTTCATTCTCATATTGATGTTTCTCTCTCTCCCTCCCCCTCTCTCAAAAATCAATAAAAAATATTTTAAAAGACATAAATTACTAAAATTAAACACAGAAATGGAGGCACAGAGAAAATTAAGTCACTTGCCTAAGGTACGTGGCAGAGCTGGAGCTAGAACTCTAAGGCAGGCCGATTTCTGTTTCTCCAGGTGCCCCATTATCTGGCCAGTATTTGTATTTTAATCATCACTAGTATTAAATCTTGATTAAATGAAGAGATAGCTATAAAACTCTAAGACAAATTGTAAAAATATTTAAGTCACCAAGGCTACGAGAGAGGTGGGTACGAGGGGCCGGTTCTGCCGGTGGAGGCTCTGCAGGAGGGTGACAGGGTACAGGGCATTGAAAGAAGGGTCAGAGGCAGCCTGGGTGAGGACAGGTTAGGGGAGGGAATGGACAGAGGTGTGGAATATTCGTGTTTTTCACTCTGCAGAGGAATAATGTTTCACTTCGAGTCACTGCAGACCAAGTTCTCAAGTTTCAAGCATCAGAATTGCCTGGGAAGACTGTCAACAATGGGCATTCCCAGGCCTTCTCCCAACATTCTGATCCAAAAGGTGGGGGTGGGGGTGGGGCCTGGGAACAGAATTGTAAATAAGCTCCAAGGCAAGTCTAATGCAGCTGGTTCAGAGACACTGATCTAGAACCTGGCAGTGAGCGACCAGAGAGAGGGAGCAAGTCCATCATGGTGATGGGTCCTGGGACATCCCCCCATGTTGGTACCATGTCTGGGTCGTTCCAGTGTCCAGGGCCGGCCACTGGTTGCAGAATGTCCTGATGGTCCACAAACCAGTCCAGGATGGAGAGCACGCTGCTCCAGGAGTCCTGGATGTCGTCATAGTTGCGCCAGAGGTTACAGATCTCTGCCAGCTGACTGTAGTTCACCTGGGTGTCAGGGAGGCAGAGTCCAGCACAGGAGTCACCCTCTGCTGCCCACAGGCTGCACAGGGGCAGGGAGGCTCAGCAGGAGACAAGAGGGTGGGGAAGGCAGAGAACCAACCCTAGCTTGTTCAGGATGAGGAAGGCTGCAGAGAACAGCCCTGCTCTGGGGCTGCCCAGGCCTCTGCTCCATGGATCCTGGTGCCAGAAGCCTGTCCTGCCCTCCCATGCCAGCTGAGTCAAGCCCAGGGTACAGGCTCCAGGTGGTATACCACCAACATCCCTGCTGCACACCCACCTGTGTTCCCGCAGTGACTCTCACCCTCTGCCAGCATCCTCCCTCAGGTCTGCAGGTCTGACCGCACCCTTTCTAGTGTCCTAGGTGCTGAGGGCCCCTGCTGAGGTGCCCACAGGCCCTTCCGAGACGGGCCCCACCTGCCTATCCTCACCAGCATTCTGGGTCTCCTAGCCCACTCAGGACAACCCAGGTTCCCTCCGCTTGATGGGTACAGTGTGCCTGCCCATCACGTGTGGTTCCCATGCCTTCAGCCACCTCACAAGTGCCTCTTCTCTAAGACGCTAGGCTGGCTGGGTGCCTCTGGGGTACTCGGGGCCTTCTCTCTAGACTACAAATCAGCACTCGGGCAGCTATGGTGAGAGGAGAAGGCGATGGGCGGCCTGTGACTGCACAGGAGGTGAGGAGGCAGGTGGGGGAACGCTGCCAGGTGGGCGCAGAATGGCTTACCTTGGGGGGGAGGCCCCCTTCGTAGGCTGGCCAGCTGCAGGAGAAGGCGATGGGCCGGCCCGTGGCATTCAGGGCAGCAGCCATCATGGGGTACCCTGGAGAAGTCCAACCCCCACATTTCAGGACCGAGAAGGTGCAGGAAGCAGCCTAGGGCCTCAACCCAAACATTCTCCCACCAAAGGTGAGGAAACTGACGCTCCACAGAGGTGCTGCCCCCTGTGCCCAATGCTGCGAACACTTCCCAGGTGGGCACGGTGCCCAGCCATCTTTAGGGAGCTGGGAGCCCCTGGGTGAGGGGAACTGGGAAACACCACTTCCTAGGAGGCATACAGACAGACGGGCTCAGGCAAGTGGACACTGGGGCCCCTTCCATGGCCCCCAGCCAGCTGTGCAACTCACCCTTGGCCCGTTCCTCTGGGGTCGAGTAGCAGCCATCCAGCTTCAGCATGTCCACCTTCCACTCGGCGAAGGTTTGAGCATCCTGGACCACCTTGTCTAGCGTGGTGCCGGGGAAACCCATGCAGGTGAAATTGCCCAAGTCCTCATAGATGCCCAGCTGTAGGCCCAGGGAGTGAGCCTGCAGGGGGAGCCAAGGACACAGTGGGCTCAGGCAGAACCCTCAGGGAGCCACCTCACAGGCGCATTTGGCCCAGCCCCATTCAAACCTTCCGGTGCCCCAATGACAAAGGAGAGGGCTCCGCTTGCTGGCTGGCCTGGCCAACTACGGTCCTCTCCTCCCTCCAACACACACTCCCAGGGGCTGATCCTTGCCTCTAGGCCTTCACTTCGCTTCGCCATCCCCTCTGCCTTAAATGTCACCTCTCTGGTATCAGCTCACGAATTGCCTTCTCTTTGGAGAACCTTCCTGAAATCCCAGGTGGATCAGATGCCCTTCCTGGCTCCCCACCACCACCGTGGGCCAAAACTAGCGATTTGTTTGTTTCCCCATCAGACTGAGTTCTCAAGGGGCAGGGCTGGGTGAGGCTCACATAGTCAGCCAGGAAGGCAATGCCGTTGGGGAAGCGCTTGGGACTAGGCATCAGGCGGCCTTTGGCATCGCGCCCGCCAATCCAGCAGTCATCGATGTTAAGGTATGTGTAGCCCAGGTCCCGCCATCCGTCCTGTGCCAGCCGGTCAGCCATCTCCATGAAGAGCCGCTCACTGGCAAGAGGAGCAGGGGATGGAGCAGCTTAGCGGCCTAGCACGTTCCTCATCCAAGGCAACAAGAACCCTGGCCTTGGGGTCAGCTGCAGACTAAGCCAGGTGACAATTGTAAATGACCCCAGGCATAGTGCCATGAGCCCTAAGCAGGGGGAAGTTGAAAGGAATGGTCTAGCCCAGGCCAAGGGGCAGGACTGAGCCAGGGGCAGCACTGTGAGGTCTGGCCTAGCCTCACCAGTTATCTCCTTTGATTACCTCAGGGGCTGGGTCCACAAAGTGCCTGCCCCACAGACCTGACAGGCCCCACAGAGGCCCCAAGCATGTCACAAGGTTGTCAGATGTCCCAAGAGTCACCTCTGGCTGCAGCCTCTCTAGGGGGTATTTGAGAGATGGGGGGTATTTGACCCTGTTCTCTTCTCTCGCCGACTCTCTCCTCCCTGCCCCCACTCTGCAGGGCCTGGGCACAACTTGTTAGGCGGTGTGGTGCTTCCTCACCTGATGCAGTTCTCTGGGTCCTCTTCACAGTCAATGTTGCAGCGAAAGCGTTCCCAGGCCAGCCAGCCCATGGGCGGCCTCCGCAGGAGCCCGTTCTCCAGCACCAGCACCTGGCCCACCAGGGCTAGCAGCGGCGCTGTAGGAGGGTGGGGATGACGGAGTGACTCCCACAGCCCGGCCCTCGCCCGACCCCCTCCACGGGCTGCCCGCCTGCACACTAGAGGAGCAACTCCGGGGCTTGAGGTGGACTTGGCACTTCCTGCATGCAGTGGCTGAGCAGATGGATGGAGCCTGGAGCAGGTCAGTGTGTGTGAGGCCTGGGGGACATCCCCACTTGCTGTTGTTGCCACAGCAGTGCTAGAATTAGCAAAAACTAATAGCTAAGGTCATATCCTTTCTCTACCCAGACCGACTCCATTACACAGAACTGACAGTCCACTGTAGCCAGCCTCCAGGTCTTTGCTCTCCACCACAGATCCCCAAGAGACCTAGAGATCAGCCAGGCCCTAGCTGGTCTGGCTCAGTGGATAGAGCGTCAGCCTGCAGACTGAAGGGTCCCAGGCTCGATTCTGGTCAAGGGCACATGCGGGCTCCATCCTAATTAGGGGGCGTGCAGGAGGCAGCTGATCGGTGATCCTCTCTCATCGATGTTTCTATCTCTCCCTCTCCTTCTCTGAAATCAATAAAATTATATTTAAAATTTAAAAAGAGAGAGATCAGCCAGGTGGGACCTGCACACAGCCAGCTCCCCAGGGTGAGCCCTTCTCTCGGGCCTCAGTTTCCTTATCTGTAAAATGGAGTTAATGTACCGACTTTACAGGGCTCTTCTCAGCACTTGTTGATATCACATAAGATTGGGCCTCTGCATTTTAGAGGGGAACTGATTCCTCAGGGGGGCGGGCAGTTCCTTCTCCTTTCCCAGCCCAGCTCCAAGAATAAGAGGAACAAGTCTCCCACATGGCATACCCACATCAGGGGAGGAGGCCTGCACTCCCGCCAGGTAGTCCCACCCCAGCTGGCCACCGACCCTCCCAAAGCCACCCCCTCCCGTGTAGGTTACCTGTCTTCCACAGCATTGCTCTGCACCAGCGTCCCAGGAGCGGGCCAGATCCGCTTTTCCCAGCTTTATATGTTGGGCTTTGGAAGCTAAGAAACATTAGAAAAATACTGGCGTCACTACTGCCCCACTAGCCCTGCGGCCTTCAACCCTGGGCGGGGATCCCCAAAACGCCCCCACTACCCCGACTCCCTGCCCAGCCATACTTCCCTGCTTCCTTCAGAAATACTAAACAACGTGTCTCGGACATCAGACCTCACCCCCCTGCAGTGCGGGGCGCCCCAAGAGCCCAAGGGCGGGCCTCCTCCGGCCAGGGCCCAACAGGCAGCACGGGCTCCAGGTCGCCCAGGAAGAGGGGAGACGCCAGGCCGAGACCAGGCTCTGG